TCTGGGTTTCAGAGTATATCCTCTGCATCAGACAAAGATGGGGTTGTTTTGTCCTCATGGCTCCCCTGGGTTAGATGCAGCATTAGATGAAACCCCTTCAGAATGAGTAGTTTCCTCCTCATGCGTTGTCTGCTTTGAGTCACTTATCTGCTGTAAAACACAAACAAGCTGTCACCATGCATCGAACGAAAAGCAGACTTAATGTTATTCAAACACTGACACAGCTGTTCTTTCAGCCTGCTTTGCCTGTAGGCTACATTGTCAAAACCCTGAAGTTTGACGAATTATGCATATGAGACCTTTGAATGTGTACTATTTCATAAATAGCTGTTCGTTTTTTATTCAGTGACTGAGACCTCATGACTGCAGGATGTTTTTGTGCAGGTGCTGGAAGTCAAAACCTGCTTTCCACATTGAGTTCCTGCATTAACCATCTGTCTGCCTCTGTCTCCACAGGATCTGGCCTCCATACCTCTACCTGGGGAGGAAGTGACAATATGTCACAAAAAGCTTCTTTTTTTGCCTAAATTAAAAACTATTTTAGAACTAACTGAGATTTCAAAAGAGAGTAATGAAGCCAAACAAACTTTGATTTTAATTTAGAGAAAACCCGCAGCATCTTAAAGCATTCGCATCAGATAAATAGCTTATATTTTCAACAGTATGTGTATGCATATTATAACTCTGTTACTTTTACCAAAAACAGCATATACCTGATAGTTTTGAATTGTCTTTAATAAGATGGCTAGATTCTCCTCGCACGACGCGGTTCTTAGAAGTCACGCCGTTGGGGATTTCAGCATCAGTATTGGTAAGCCACGTCGATTCGGTTTCTCTGGTCCAGCTCTCATGATATCGCGGTTCAATAGCATCTGCTCGACTCCCACCGCAGCCCATTGAAATAAGATGGAGCGCTGCATGCGCTAATAAATGATGCAGACGAGCGCGCGCGATTATGCTCCCTTCCCACGCGCAGCTGTGAGTGAATGAGAGCACCTCGTGCATTTGCCAAACTTGAGATTTGTCATCCTTTACGTCATCAATTTGTTGTGATACTGTGTAGAGGCGATCTGCACCAAAACAGACGAGAGAGGAATACGTTTACGTTTTAGTGACATGTTCTAGCACAAAAAAACGTGTTCACATGCAAACTTTTATATGTATTTATTATAAACCACACACATAGGCTACACACAGGAGTGATGATGAGAGTGCTAGTTTTGTATTTTCCAATTTAATGCAAGATTTTTCATAAATTACAAATCAATGTCAGTGTGGTGTAACCAAGC